AGAATCATGTACCTGAGTGATATATGCGTGACACAGTCCCACGTCATTTTGCCAAAACAGTTGCATCTGGAGTAAATGAACCTATCGTTGAAGTGACCATCAAAGGGCAAGTGGGGAAGGAAGAATATCCTTATGTCGGTGTTTTATGAAAATGCAGCTCTATTTTTAGGAAATTTAAGGTGGATTTTTGAACAGAGCATTATCCGATAATGCAACTTCATTTCGGAGAAAATGCATTATAAATCCGGTAAATAAAGCTGCATTATCGGATAGTGCTCTGTTCAAAAATACACTCTTAATGTTTTTTTTTAAAATAATGTTCCATCATAGAATAGGAGTCTGTTGAAATATGAAACCTTACATACATACACTTTCAATACCGCTTCTTGAAACTAGAGGCGGTCCCTGTTCGACCATACCCAGGAGTGTCCTGCAGTGCCCAACAGTACATCCTGAACAACGGACTCAACTTAGCCAGTTGTGTGCCAAGCCTCTCGCGACAAAGCCGAGCGACGTAACCGCTCCACCTTGTACGAGGTCTACTGACGGATCTATTGTAGGTCATCTTGGCCTGGAAGACTTCAGTGGAAGTCACTCATAGGGCATGTGGCATCAACACCACTTCACCTGAGATCTCTCGATCCTGAGAAGCAGCTGCTCGACATGGAGACTCTCGCGGATGACAGAGTTCCCCATCCGATCACCGGTTCTAGGTGGAGCAATGCCGAATGGCATAAACATGTCTAAGCTTCCAGCTGCCATTCATTTTCAGTTGCCTGCTCTGTGCATTCATTTTTAAGAGGGATTGAGAAATGAAGAGTGGAGATTTCCAGGCCGTCATCACTTAGAATTAGTTCAATTGGATGTTGGCCTCGCAATGTCCTCTGTTTCATTATGTGACGTCTCCCAATCCTTCAAGTTCCTGCACGGAGAAATCGATTCCTCATATTCCATTTGCAAAATTTCTGGATTCGTGTTTATTCAAGGCGTCTTCCATCGATGGGTACCTGTAGGCTTTAGTCTCATCCAACAGTTGAGTTTTCTGACTCGTGTGCTCCGTATGGTAATAGGTGAATAGGGGAAATGAGGGTCAAATTTGAGAAGTTCCTGGACACATTCCGGGTCTCCTCCATTCTTCTTTTCCTGGGCGGCTGTTTTCCCTTTACTGGGATGTTCGACTCGGAGCCCCAGTTCAAGTTCGTTTCCTTCCCAGCCTTCTATTCTATTGGATTCCTCGCTTAAATCGCCGTCGCCTTCGCGTTCATGTTTGAAACTGTCTTGGACTCCATGTTAGTAAACTACACTTCGCTTCAGGATGTGGCCATCTTCAGGAATTCTCGGTATCAATCGTCTATGCCTGGATCGTTGTTGCCTTCTTTCTCGTATTGAGTCCGCGGATCGCAAATATATTCAGGTAGGTGAACGCCGTTCTGCGGAAACGGGTTGCAGAGTTCGCGTTTCCCCTCGCCGCACTCATTGTCATCTCCGTGTTGCACTCCGCCGTGCTCCTCATCATCGATTGGAAGTATCTAATTCCTACCCCTTGGCCATGTCCCGGATCGTTGTCGTTTTCATGCCACTCCTCCTTTGGATCTCGTCATTGGTTAGAGACATAATCGAATATTTGACCTGTCCAAGGAGAATTGAAAGAAGAGACACTGGCCAAAATGCGGTAAGATCCAAGGCCAATATCCAATGTGACTCGCTTATTCCAACGTGAAACATTCATGAGCGTCGATATACAGAGAAAGGTACGTACGAATCTGGGCGTTGACTGCCGATACGTCGAATGTCTTTGGATGGATGCCCTTGACGGGGGGGGAAGCCTTCTTCATCAGTTTCTTTGAGCTTTTCCACCTGATGCTATCTGCTCAGCGGGAGTTTCCCTTGTTTCTGGTCATCGCCGCTTGCGTCCATGTCGTGGCTGCCCGTCCCGAGTCGGAGCGTCCCGTTCCTTGCTATCATGGAAGCCAAGTCATGGCAAGTATGAATTATATGGTGTAATGTAGCATGCAATATACTGGCCCAGCCTTGCCTCTTTCATATTTTCATTCACAACCCCTCTGTAAATGCCTATGATTTCCAAATGAAACAGAAAAACTATGCCAAAGGTAATATGAGACTTTAAGAAATATCCTGTATTGAATATGTTTGGTATATCCTAGGTGTAAGAAATTTGAATAGGAAAATTATTTGAAAGAGATTCAGGTGAAGCAGGCCTAGGCCTATAATACATGGAGTCTCTTCACAGCTCTCAATTCTGATACATTTAATACTACTGAACACCCTGGGGAAGGTTAGTTTCAATCTCCTAAGAGACTGAATGAATAGATGGGCAAGGAGAGCACGGATGACATGATGAACTACATTGATGCATGAGGATATTCTCAATCCATGACCTCAGTAGACATGCAACGGTCTTAGAATGTCATGGAGCAAGCTTGCTTCGAGCAAAGACACTCCAAATAACTTAATAGAATCGAAGGCATTGGGGTGCGTTTGTCATCGAGGCTACTCGCTTCTTGGAAGCTACGCCTAGCTTTTCGCAACTCAAAAATATAATGGACGAGCCTGATATGAGGTTCACGAGGCCTGTGATACGAGGAGAGGTGAACGCTAAACAAATGTAATATTATAAAGGAGACTATCCAGATCTAACGAGGCCTTTGGACGCCTTACCTGGACCAAATGCAGGCCTAAGCAAAGACCCATCGAGGTCCATGGGGTCACACTGCGGTAATACGTAATGAAGAAGCCCTGAACGATCACATTATATCAAATGAGGCACTTTGAAAGTGTTTACATATTTTGATCCGGTCGGGTCGGGAGGGGCCGTGAAGTTGGGTAGGAATTTGGATTTTGTGCCAGATGCGGGCCATGACTTGAAACGGCCCTATCGGGTCGGGTGCACCGAAAGCAGCCTGTGCAGCACTCTACCAGGGGTAACATAACAGTGAACATTTTGATTGCTCGTAACTCATCATGGGTTGAAGGTATTTAGAATCTGATTGTACGATGCACTCCCTCTGACCATAGGCTTTTGAACTATGCATACTGTCAGGATGTTTATTTGTATAGCGACGTAATGCGGCTTACAAACATACATTAGATTATCCATGTACATAAGAGGCTAATCTGTCCTTGTGTTATTCCGGGAAACGCCTCCAAAACGGATAAGCGGATTTTAATAATTCATGTGTCAATCGAAAACTCATGACCTGGAGGTGATACTGGGTCAAAAGTCCGAAAAGTACTCCGCGAACGTGGTTTCTCCGGGTCCTCCTGTCTTTCTGCACGTCAGAGGCCTGCATGGGTTCACTTTTCCTAGTGGAAACTCGATCGGCCTGATTCGAGTCGTGGCCCGCACCCGACCCGGAACACGATCGTCGACAGAGCTTTCCTGCTCCGAACCGCTGATCGTGTCGTGCGGACATAGCCGGCCCGCAGCCCGCTTAGGCCTGCAAGTTTGTCTATGATGAGTATTTGTCCCAAGGGGAGAGGAAGGGACCCTCGCAGATCTGCGCAGAAACTCATTTTCGGGTTAAACGGTTCAGCATGAAGGGCATTCTATGCAAGCAGATCGGGTGGCAAAGCGTGCCTTTGGCATGGGAAACCGTGCAATAGAAATACTGTATATTGGGTAATCTGAAACTTATGGCGATTTCCTTATACGCCGAAAATACCTCTTTCTTAGGGATGAGTTGTGTGAAATCGATGCCTGGCCATCTCTCATCCATAGGCATATACATAATGCATAAGAGGATAAAATATCTGTGTCAGGGTGTCATTCTGGGGAAAATCCTGCTAGATGGGTAAACGTATTTTCATGAGTGAAATGTCAATCGAAAGCTTATATCCGAAGACGATGCTTCTTCAAGCAAAAGTCCATAAAATCGTCCCATTTTCATGCTATGAGGCCAAATTTCGGCAATAAGGATAGCATTATACGGAAAGGTTCCAGGCTCACACGTCACACATGCTCACACGTCACACATGATCACACGTCATGACCCACACTCGACCTGAAATTTGATTGCCAAACGGGCCGGTCTGAACCCTGTTTTTTCCTCTGAGCATCAGAAATCGAGATCTGAAATGACGCATTATCTCGCTCCCGACCGAAAACAAAATTGTCAACCGACCTTCACGTCCGAAGCACGGGTAAGATCGGTTCTATCGAGCTGATTCGCATCCCGGTCGACCTTGCACAGTTTCCCATGTGTCACCGCAACACAATACGCGGCTCTGTCGACAATCGCGTTCCGGGTCGGGTGTGGGCTACGATTCGAATCGGGCCAATCGAGCTTCAACTCGGAAAAGTGAACCCATGCAGGCCTCTGACGCGCAGAAAGACAGGAGAACCAGTAGAAACCATGTTCGTTGCGTACTTTTTGAACTTTTGACCCAATAAGTATCGCCTCCAGGTCATGAGCCTTCGATTGAAATCTCAATTATTAAAATTCCTTCATCCGTTTTAGAGGAGTTTCCCGGAATTACACAATGACATAATGACAGATTAGCCTATTACGAGTATGTATATGGATGTATTATATCTCTGGCAGTCGAGAGAGGGTTTACTATAAAGTTTAGCCGTGCAAAATAGCGCCCACTGTAATGGACTATGGAGCACAATGTCATGCGAATTCATAATAGAGAAAAAATTGCAATTTCTTTTTATTTTATATTATGTCATTTTCTCATTGCAGTCAAAATGCAATACGGAAAATATAGTTAGCGTCACCCATGCATTTCGTATTCAAGAGTATGACCTATCGCGTGCAGTTCTTTCTGTTTCATGGCATTTTGTGCTATGTACGTACGTACGTACACTCTTACGGAAGAATGTCGACGAACAATCCGTGATGAAAAAACCAAGTCCAGAACGCTTATCAAGGAAGAACGACGCGAGAGTATGACGATAGATGGCTTGAACAGTTTTAGTGCGTGCACCGTCCATTGATAGGAAAAAGCGATAAGATAACAGCCCAGTGCTTCGTTAGCTGGACATGAGTTAGATGCGTGGGGAAACAATCTGGATCTTCGGAATCCTCTAAAGAAAATCCACTTTCCTGCATTGGCTAAGAGGTGAGGACATTCCATATTCCTAATTTCTCTATTTTTTAAATCAAGCGCTTAGCTGGACATTTGTCCGCTAATTCTTGTCGAATCAATGATAGATCAATGTGAGAGATCGTCTATGCCCAAGCGATGTGTTTCGAACAATTACATGTATGCGATAGCATGAGAAAATGAAGCAAATATGTTACATCAGTTTGCAATTATGCGTTCCTGCACCGATAAGCTAAGACTTTGCCGTAAGAAATATCAATTACCGACTGACACCATTCCGTCGGTTGAGTTTCAGTTTTGGGTGCTTTCTAGTTCTTATTTTGCCAGCATCTGCGTCTCCACCTAGTTCCTTCTCAGACATCCAAGAGAGTAGCCCCAGTGGGACTAGCAAGACGTCGTTTTTGTGCTTGTGTGAGAGACACACTTATTTTCAGAAGTTATGTGCCTACGGTGTCTCAGAATTATCAGTTCTTATGACTTAAATCAAAAGTCACACATGCTTGCATTATCAAAATCACTCGTCCGAACGTTACGGGATTGCGACTCCAGCAAACCCATTTTTATCTTCCAGAGTTGGCAATCCAGGGAAACGAAGGGAAGGTAGAGGGAAGGAGAGATAAATTGCGAGCGTAAGATCTTCCCTGGAAGCCCCATTTTAACTTCTGCCCTACCATGTCAATTTTAATGGACTTGAGAGAGTTTTCCTTCTTGGGTCACGTGATTTCCGGCGAGTGGAGCAGTGGGTGGCGATAAACATTAGGTCGCCTACTGTGCCCTCGCCATCTGAAAAAATATATCCACAGGTTCTCAACACCAACAGCAGAGACTGGGCCTCCCTTCTGGCTTCAACACAAAGGGCCGATTGCATGAACAATGTTTATTTTAGACATTGACTATCGATGATAATTGTTTAAACCTTGTCTACGAAAGCATCGGATAACCGCTGTCTACTTTCGCTTGCGTGAACGATCCCTAAGCCATGTTTTCAGAGCAGATGGTTTGACGATGGCTAAACACCCCTCATGGTACATATATATTACGTTCTGACTCCTCGGTTGTCGCGTAATATCCTTCGGACTCCACAAAAAACGAGCGAATCAAGTGAAAAAGGAGAACTTTTCCTCAGACTGTGAAGTACATCTCGCAGAGCTTGTAAAGGAGAACCTCACGATAGACACAGAATACACTTTCCTAGCACAACAAATAATAATGCCTGGAAACCGGTGAGTTCTTCTCTGACCTTACTCTATTTCGATATATCAGGGGTAAAGTCAATGATTCCTTTTGGACACACGGAGAAGTAGGAAGTGTGAAAAATAGGAGTATCATTTGTATATTTGCAAAATGAGGGTATTCGAGAATTGCGTGTGGATCCTGGTCACGTGATGACAAATTCAGTAATAATCCCTTCCGCATCTCGCACTGGTTGAAAATCCATGAAATAGAAGCATTTGCAATTGTTTAAAGTTGTCTGGCCATTCTATTCGAGTACGACAGTCGTCGATGACACCGATCACTCCTGGAAATTCGACAATATCAAATAATTATCTTCGTACAACTACTCCGCTTTTCCTCATAGGAATGTACTGAGCGATGCAAATGGGCAATGGCTTGCGCCATTCCATTTCTAGGAATCGACGCCACATATGATAAAATCGAAGGGTCAGCACAACATGCAAATCGAAAGGCTATCATGATACTCTCTTTATTTTCGAGTCATTTATTACTCAGGGGATGGGTACTTGAACGAATCACGATTCATTGCACACGAAGTGATTGCTCTCATCTGTTGATGTAAAGTTAAGGGATCCCTTCCACGATCTTCGTTCCTTTCGAATTCAGCGCGAAACAGGTCGACATCGTACCCTGATCCCGTTCCGAATTGGTAACTCACGCGGAAGTTCTAAACGACATATTTTTCAAAGGGATTAAGCCCAGAACCTATGTTTATTTCCCCCATTGCGACGACGAGAGCACATCGCCGTTATCGAGCGGGTCCGTAAACAGAATCCATTGTGCCTCACCAGTATACTGCGGCGCCATACTCAACTCGCCATACTCGAGATGGTACGTGAACGCTGGCATAAAAATCGGCAAAACGTGCCCCATCCCTTGTCTGGAAACGACACCTTTTTCAGCTTCTGTTCGATATCGGTTAGACAATGGTCAAAGGAAGATAGCGTTATGCAATCCATTTTTGGCCTTAGACATCGGTTAAACATTGACTTTCGAAAAACACCGGGAAGACATCGTTCATGCAATCGGCCCAATATGTTCATCTATACGCAATCCCACTAAGGGGAAGAACAACCAAACGGCAGGTTTCCTGGGAGTAGCGCGTGTCGTGGAAATTCCAGCTTCTTCAACGCATAACTGCTAAAATTTCACTCCCAATATGTTTCCTCCATTTACGACTATCTGGCCGCACCTATAAGAATCGCAACTTAGTCGCGAAGTTGAAAATAGAACCCATTCATGGATACTGGCAAAAATGTGGACGCTTGGCGGCTCATTAAATTGATTTTTTTTTTAATCCCTAACTGCATATATGCCACAGATGTTGCCAATATATTGGGTGTTTTTATTTCAGTCGGTATCACTGTTACCCAGCTTGCACTGTACTCCACACCATTAATATATATATTTGTTATTTTCCCTGTCAAAAAATTCACCCTTGAAGAAAATAAACATTGCTAGGACAATGTCCAGTCAACATTACATCAATATATGTCGGGTGAGACTTCTTGCAAGACATTAGAACAAAGGTTTCCTGACCCGGAAGTGAGATGGCGAGAAATCACCAACACAGGGAGTTACGTTATATATGCAAGACGCACGCGTCCCTAATACTTTTGGATTGGTACTTGATATTTTCTCCACAGATGACACTGGGAAAAGTATTTGAATTCCTGGATATATTCCAAGAAAGAGGCAACCCAATCCAATAAGATTTAGGATAATTCTGACCCTGGCAAGGAATAGGAGAAAGTTCACATGTTGATGTGACTCAATGAGAAATCACTCCTTCGCTGGAAAAAATATTGAATCTGATCCTGTGGGTAGCAGGGAGATATCCACGGAGTGACTACTAGCCATATTTTCCTTCCTTACAATCACTGTGCTGTCTCTTTCCTTCCATGAGACCAGAATGTCCCTATCTAATCTCGGCCTAGAGTCCATGTCGAGACCAGCATCTGGATCAACTGCCATTTCAATACCGAATGACATGATGTCGCGTTGGTGATTCACCGAGTCTTTCAGTAATCAAATGGGGCATGCTTGTTTATCCGCATGCGTCATTTGATTGGCCCATGCGCAATGCATATTCGGACATTGTTGAGACCTGTCTCACTTCCACATTGAGGAAATGCTGATTCATTCATGTCTCATCTCGTAATGGATTTGGTGGCGGCGCGAAAATGCTGTCCTCACAGTGCCTATATAACTGTTGACACAATTTATGGCACATATTGTGAAGCGATTCACAATATGATAGTATATTTTCTTCCAATCACCCCTCGTATATACCCCGATTCAAAATTTTTTCATTTACTGTCTTCTTTCCGTGCATTTGCAGACATGGTGTGACCATTTTCAATGGATGACTCTAACTCTCAGACATCTGGGAGGAGTCTGTACGAGACGCTGGGTTTGGTGGAGAATGCAACTTTTGACGAAGTGAAATCAGCATTTAGAAAACTTGCAAAACAGTACCATCCTGATAAGAACCATGGGGACCCGAAGTCTGCCGAGAAGTTCAAGGAGATTGATCTGGCCTATAAAATCCTGTAAGGATTTCGTATCTACAGTAGTTGGCACTGCAAAAGAAACCAGCGAACTCAAAAATAGTGTAGCATTTGTAGTTTAACCCAAAATACCACTGTGCCGCCACAAAATCAACATTAAAATTTTGATGGTCGAGTGCTTCTCATATAAAATATTCCAGTTTCGGGTGATAGTAGATGAGATCAATGCAATTTTCATTGTTGTTGCTGTTTTATACTTCCCTCTTGAGAAAGTGATGGCACCAACTCTTCTGGCTCAGAATATAATCATTCTACAAAATAAAATGTCAATATTCCAAGTGCAGGTGACATGGATAAAAGCGAACGCAAGGTGAATGTTATTTCACTCATTACGAGTATGACGTGCTCATTATGAGTCATAAGTTTTAACAATTATTTCATAAATCGGGCAGTTATGGAATGAGCTGTTATTTACGCACGCTAGGAAGTGGGACAATCTCAGGACATGGAGGACGCTTCTTTTATCTATCCTAGAATTACGAGGACCTAAAATGTTTGATTTGAACTGTGAAGGGCTGTGCTCTGCATACTACACTAGTGAGTTTGTTTGCACTCGTAAGTTTTTCTGCACTCAGAAATTGAATCGGCACTTCTGAGGTCAGTTTAAACTTCCTATTGCTTTCTGTTTTGTTGCATTGAATAAGATTCTGGAAAATGCACCACTCACGAAATGTGCCCAGACGGTATTTACCAAAAAATTATATTTTTACGTAAATAGGTACTCGGAGAACTCCATGTCCACCAACTTTCCACCAACTTTTTGCTGTGCAAAAATTTATTTGAGAAGACAAAACACCCTCAATTTGTGGCCTGAGGGGATGCACCAAAAAATTGACTTTTCCTGAAATCGACATCGTGTCAGTTAAAAGTGTCAAGCTCCACTTATACGTTTCTGCTGGATTCGCCATGACAAAAAATGAATGCGTCAACCCCAAAAGATATGCCCCCAGGGAATGCATTGGAAACGACTTTTTTTTCTCAACTCAGTGTGTAAGCCGTCGTATTCATGCCAATGTTCAGCTTTTCATGTATATCCGGTTCACAGAACCAAAAACAATTGCTTGAAAATTCGAGCCCCCAGGCCATAAAGCTATAAAGTCTGAATTTTTCTTAACTCTGCATCCTAGTAGAAACCCACGCACGACGTTTCATCCATCCATAATATCTAATCATAGAATAAGCGTCAGTCAGTCGCTCAGCCATGATGGTCAACATATACATCTACCGACCGAAAAGCTATAACCTGAGGGGATGCACCACAAACTTAGAATTTTTCTGAACTCAACGTTATGTCAGCTATGCATTTGGCTAGTTTCATCTTTTTATTTTTGCCCGTTTCGTTAGGACAAACACATCTTTAAAAACGTCAACCCCGAAAAAAATTATCCCAGGTCATGGATCTGAAATAGACATTTTTCCTGAAATGAGTGTCTCAGTAGGTACGTGCATGCCAGGTTTCAGCTTTCCATGTCTCTCCGTTTTTCTGAAGTAAATATGTATCTTTCAAAACATCCCCAACCAACATGGGTGCCCTTACGGGGATATACCTCCAAAGTCTGATTTTTTCTGAATTATGCATACAAAATGTACTTATTTGCTGATTTTTCCGATTTAGAACTTCTATAGAACATGATTAGAACTCGCGCCAGTCACGAGCGTCTTTATTATTGGGCGCGGTAGTCACCATTATCTTTCTCCAACCCCTTCCGGCAACAAAATTCAACCGCCTCGTACTCCCCTCCGAGAGAATCAACAGAAACGAAATTTGGTAAACTTCTTCCTCTCTCAATATGTAATCGCTCCAGGAAATTTGAAGCTCCATCTCCGCGGGGTAGTGGAGACCACTCCATCTTGCTTTTAGATGTGAACTTCGTTCCAGTATACAGGGTGTCCATGAAATAATGCAACAGTTTCAAAAATTAATAAGTTGGTAAGTAATGGATGAAACGCAGTGATCTTTGTATCGAAATGAAGGGGAAGACTGGGAGTTTATGTATATCCCGTTGTAGATGTCGCTTGCGGCTCGAAATGCGCGCGGAATGGAATTTCCTTATTGGTGCTAATTTTTGGCGAGCGCCTCACCCCCATCAGTACAATGGCAACCGTTTAGCAGAAGGCTCAATGCGAGGTTTGGTATGTGGAGACCAAGGGCGGTATTCTATTAAAATCTTAAACTTAGTTGAAGAAATTGGTCAACCTTGGCGATGCATTTGAATGGGGAAAATTCCAGCTAAGCACCTTGCTAAGAGGTAAATCGCACTTAAGAACATTATAGAATACGGCTCCAAGTCATTCATTACAGTTCAACGTAATTTTCAGCGTGCTTCTAATATATATAGCCGATCGTGACTGACTGACGCTAATTCTAACCATGTTCTAGAAGGTTTAGAAATCTGAAACTTGGTACACATGTACCTTCTGGGATGCAGAGTTCAGAAAAAATATGATTTTGGAGGTACATGCCCTGGGGGTACAATTTTTTGGGGAAACGTTTTTCTTAAATATATTTTGTGACAGATGAGGATGGCATTCAGAGTATAAGCATGAAGTCCTGGGTTCGGTGGTGTAGTAGTTGCATATCGGACTGGCATTCAGGAAGTCCGGGTTCAATTCCCGGCCATATCTTGGCTTTTTTTGCCTTCCATGTCCCGGTACTCATTCCTCCTCCATGACATTACTTTTGCTTGAGTAAAACGGAGAGACATGAAAGCTGAAACCTGGCATGGAGGTGCCTACCGAGACGATGAGTTCAGGAAAATGCAAAATTTTAGATCCATGCCCTGGGGAGGGCGACGTTTTCAAGTATTTTTTTTGTCTTGGCGGATTGAGCTAGTGTGGAAAGATGAAACTAGCCAAATGCATAGCTGACATAACGTTGAGTTCAGAAAAATTCTAAGTTTGTGGTGCATCCCCTCAGGTTATAGCTTTTCGGTCGGTAGATGTATATGTTGACCATCATGGCTGAGCGACTGACTGACGCTTATTCTATGATTAGATATTATGGATGGATGAAACGTCGTGCGTGGGTTTCTACTAGGATGCAGAGTTAAGAAAAATTCAGACTTTATAGCTTTATGGCCTGGGGGCTCGAATTTTCAAGCAATTGTTTTTGGTTCTGTGAACCGGATATACATGAAAAGCTGAACATTGGCATGAATACGACGGCTTACACACTGAGTTGAGAAAAAAAAGTCGTTTCCAATGCATTCCCTGGGGGCATATCTTTTGGGGTTGACGCATTCATTTTTTGTCATGGCGAATCCAGCAGAAACGTATAAGTGGAGCTTGACACTTTTAACTGACACGATGTCGATTTCAGGAAAAGTCAATTTTTTGGTGCATCCCCTCAGGCCACAAATTGAGGGTGTTTTGTCTTCTCAAATAAATTTTTGCACAGCAAAAAGTTGGTGGAAAGTTGGTGGACATGGAGTTCTCCGAGTACCTATTTACGTAAAAATATAATTTTTTGGTAAATACCGTCTGGGCACATTTCGTGAGTGGTGCATTTTCCAGAATCTTATTCAATGCAACAAAACAGAAAGCAATAGGAAGTTTAAACTGACCTCAGAAGTGCCGATTCAATTTCTGAGTGCAGAAAAACTTACGAGTGCAAACAAACTCACTAGTGTAGTATGCAGAGCACAGCCCTTCACAGTTCAAATCAAACATTTTAGGTCCTCGTAATTCTAGGATAGATAAAAGAAGCGTCCTCCATGTCCTGAGNCTTCCATTAAAGCGTTTTCTTCCCACTTTCCTCTTATTATTACGTAATTAATGAACACATATATTAGAGAAATGTGGAATTATGATGTTCTGATTGCAGAATCTGATTCTGCGACAAATTAAATGTCCAGGTTTAATGTGAGCGCATAGAAGTCTAGGCGATTGGAGTGTGTAGAGCACACACAAGAATAACCTGAAGTGATCCATTCGCAAATCTTCTAAGAGAGGAGCTGAGAGAATTTATCTTCGTTTTGCAAACCAGTTAAGCATACAAGGCTTTGGTGCTGCTTGCAGAACTGAAGAGGACCCATTCTCTCAAACTTCTCAGTACTCTATGGGTACTGACCTATGGATACCTAAGAGGGTGTATCCTCTTTTGTATATGTAGTTCATCATTCATAGGTCATGCGGGAAACCCAATCACGAGGGACTCATTGAGGAATGTCGAATGAATGTTGCCATCATTATTGTTTCAACATTAACAAGGAATGTTGAAACAATGTTGACAAAAATGACATCTTCACATTGAATCAATGTGGCACCTCAATTCAACATTATAAATGTTGCCATGAAACATTGTTTCAATGTTGTTTCCACATGGATGTGCTACCTGGGTATTTCAATGGACGTACTTAAAATACGTGTTTCCCATTTCGCAAAAAATGAATGAATTAATGACTATCCAAGGTAATAGAGCGCCGAAGGCGCGACCATAGCAGTATGACATAAAAATGGTGCTCACCTTGAGACTTACTAAGGTTCGCAAGTAAACTCGCAGTCTTCCCCTTCATTCTCATGCAAAAATTACGGCATTTAATCCAACATTTACTGAGTTATTAACTATTGAAACTGTTGCATTATTTTATGGACACCCTGTATATTTTTTCTCTCCCCCCTCCCTGGTTAGCCGCTCCTGGGATGTTGTTGGAGGAAAGACACGTACCAAACGAAAGATATTCACTAGTAGGGGACGAAAAGTATCATATTTATTGTTTGTGTTACACCATTTCGCCCAAAAAAATGAAATTAGTTGCCATTAATTTAAGGCCATTCCGTGGTGGAACGGTCCTGTCCTGCAGTGTTGCCGGATATCATTTCGGCGTTATGTCAGATCCATGACTTCATTGACCTTAGTATCGTGGTCTGTATCTTCTATTTTTATTGTGCTGAATTCACCAGATAAGCAGAGAATGAAACGATGGTGTGCAGTGGCCGATTGACATGGTGTAATACGGAGATATCTGATCCGGACATCCCAAAATTAACATGATGGCTGCTAGCTTGAATGTCATGCTTCATAAGGGCATTTTCTTAGCGAAACGAGTCGAGACTGTTTGAGGAACTCTGAATAGGCCTAATGTTCCCCGACCGCACTAAAATGGTTCCTGAAACTTGAAGACCTACAATCGGTCTTACCTTACACCTTCTGTTAAATACGAGGTGCGGTCAAAAGCAAGTGGCACTTTCTCTGGTGAAGTCAAACCGTACGTGGCAGAACGGAACTATGATTATTTATTTTCAACGTAGTCTCCATTTAGTTCAATGCAGGAGTTCCACCGCTTCACCCACTTCCGGAAGACCTCAGCAAACCATTATTGGTCCTGCGCTGAGTACCACTGGAAGATAGACGATCCCAGAGCACTTCTGCTCTCGAATCTTCGTCCGCGTAAGTGATCCTTCAGTGTGGGGAACAGTGCGAAGTCAGCGAGGGCCAAATCAGGGCTGTACGGTGGATGAGCCATGAGCGAAGAATTTGTTCTCAGTTAATGCTTCGAAAACGATCAGTGCCCGATGGGCTGGAGCATTGTCGTGATGGAAGATGACACCATCCCGGAACTAGTCCCCTCGTTTCTCAGCAATCGCTTAGCGAACCAAAGGCAGCAGGGAAGTGTAGTAGGCGTCGGTCATCGTCGTACCTTGTGGCATGGGATGAGCTAGAATCACGCCCTCGTTATCGAAGAAAATTGCGTACATCACTTTGGATGCCGACTTTTGCATTAGTGACAATATGAAATCCATTCACTGTTTGCGTGCGTAGATGGCAAGAACCTATTATCTCCCTTGCTTGGCAATGATACATCAATACTATGTATATAAATGATCTGGACTGATATGTCAACCAGGCAGAAAAAGGGATTAGAGACCGGACCAAGGTTGTCAAAGCAAGGAGAATATATCAAGAATAAGATTTCCTCATTCCGTGTTCATAGTTTGATTTCGTTGAAATATAAGACATAGTAGTGAAAATTATGAGAAAAGAGAAACCTGCTGAAGTAGCCCAAAGAGGAGTTAGCCATGAAAGATTTACGGAAGTTTTTCTCCATGCGGAAGTCGTCATCGTAACTACACGTTACTCACAACGTAGGCGGTGTGAAAACAAATAGGCAGAATTACTGCGACGTGGCATTGCAATTTTTTATTTCCATGAATCACCTCCAGAGGCGATGAGTCAGTCATAACTGACGCATGGCTGGCACCATTGAGCCAAGACTAATAAATGGAGATGTCGCACTTTAGAATGGACTTGCTGCAAATAGAAGCCATATTAGTTGGGATCATAGCGTCTCTTCGCCATTCACTACCATGGGAATTAGCATATAGTCATATGTATAGAACTATTCAGCTCTCTAGCGGGTACTCTGGAGTCATCTAGCGTCGATTGTGCGAACCTTCTTTGGTTTCTAGCAACTTTCAGATAAATAGCACAGTTATGTTCACAGTTGCGAGCGTCCGTCAATAAGGTCATGTATTTGTGATCATACAGCACCTTAACTAAGCGTCCAAAAGCTGCTCATCCCTGAACCTTGAACGTCAAAGCGCCTCTTTGAGCCGAGGTTGAGCATCCTCCTTTGTGTTACTTACTTCCCTACGCCATGAGGTGCACCGGTAGGCTTCATTTATTTTCCTAACCCCCTGTAAGGATAAATGCAATTGAGGAAAGATCAGCACACGAACATATCTCACTTTCCTTGGCCACGGTCTCACAAAACCTCTGGAGCACTGAGGTGCACTGGTGAAGCCTAAGGCGAAACAAAGGAAAAGAGGTGGGGCGCACCGGTGCGCCCCATGGCCGTCAACCTGTTAAACGAGTCACGCAACTATCACGCACCGTACCGAAGCTCAAGCGACTATCAATTCGTTCCTGATTGGTAGATTTTGCGTCGCGATCACGATCCTGGGAGAACGGCTGGAAGAGCCGCTCGACGTCTCAGACGTTTTCCTCACGCGTTTTTAAAACTACTGATGATATCACCAGTGAGGTCAGCCTTCCTATATCCCTTGCCGTCCTCTCAAGAGCGGTTAAACAAAACTCCTTATTGTTTCAAGGACGACGATGGCGACACGATCACCGTCAACATTACCCCCATGCCTCGGAATTTTACAGTCGTTCTTATTGGTGGAGATGTGCCGATGTGGTCTTCCTCCTGGGATGTTTCAGCAGGATGGTGCGACGACACACAGCTCACATGAGCATGGACGCTTTCTTCAGAATTTTTCCTGGTCGCGCGATATTCAAACATGGGGATCTTCATTGGCCATCGCGGTCGGCGGACCTAGCAGCTCCAGACTCCTACCTCTGGGGTAATCTAAAAAGCACGGTTTACGACACTCGCCCTGCAAATCGGAAGGCTTTCGAACTCGCTTACGAAATGATGTGGTCTCTGTGCCTATTGCGATGTTTCAGCTTGTCATGCACAGTGCAGTGGACTGTGTGCGCGAAGGTATGGAGCCTGACGGTGGCCACTTCAGTGACATTATCTTTCAACAATGACTTGTTGACATGACCATCCCATAATACCACATTCCTAGACTGCCTTTTGATTATACAGATCGGTGCGAAGTCAGTCAGTGCGATGTTTGCCGTCTAAAACTCTTTAACTTCTGCCAAGTTCTCTTAGCTCCGGAATGCTTATCTGAATTTACGCCAATTCATTCGAAGTTCCAAATATTCCCTTGGAAAGCCATATTTTTGGAAATATACAGGGCTAAAAGAATCCCAAGTTGAATTGTTCGGAACTGAATGAATGTGAATGTTTAGTGTGTTCCTTAACAAGTTCGAAGTCCCCCTAGGACGTAGGAGAAGCAATGAAACAGCAGCAGAAACTGGTAACACAGATTCAATAAATTGCTCATCCCAGAGCAAAGCAGAATCACTTGAAACAATTACGATATCTACATTTCCAATGGTCAATTTTATTCCATATTAATCTAACAATTGAAATCTAACATTATTCGTCTAAAAACCTATATATCTTTTTGCATATAACAGCCAGAAGAGGCTCAGCAACAGAGATGCTGAGGGGAAGGAGAGGCTCAAGAACGGAATGGAAGTTGCAGTCATGCATTACACCGATAAAATGAGCCGATTGACTGGAGGGAATTTGATCAGGGAGCAGGACCTGATCGATGGCGATAAAAGACTTCGAAAGGAAGCTGTTGAAGTTTTACGTAGGATTGAAGTGCAATGGCCGCAACTATTAGAAAAATACATCGACGAATTGGAAAAAGTAAAATCACTTTTGTATTCCATATTCTTTACTGAATGGACGGTTATTTTCTCTTTTGTCTTTTCTAAATAGCTTCTGGAGGCCCAGTATGAGGTCTATGCGCAGAAAAGGGGTGAAGGCGAGAGAGCAGCGGTGAAGATGCTGAAAAACGCCCTGATCTCAGCTGCGAGCGAGTATGACATCCAGTTGAGCCGATTGTGCCAAGAAGCCGAAATCAGTGATGAGAAGCTGATGAAGAGAGAGAAAGTATTTTATAAGCGGGCATTTGCGTCTTTCTTAGAAGAAGGAGCACACTGCCCCTATCTAGCAAAGGAATTTAAGGAAGAGCTGAAAAAGGTCCTCATCATTTCATCTTATATGGACCATAGAGCATCTCGTGGCAAAACGTTTTTTTTTTCTTTTCATAGCTTTTGGACGAAAAGTACGAATTGAGGGCGAAACGTACAAAGGAACATATTGAGTCCGCGGATCAGGTAAGCCGCTGATTGGCTGATCATCTGATGAGAGAAAATAACTTGCAATTCTGCCACTGCGTCTGGATGCCTTCAATTCGTGGGTGTTGATACAACTAAAAACTTGAGCGTTACGAACACGCATTAGAACAGGCTAATTGAGAAATACTCTCAACCAGCTATATCGTATTAACCCCTTTCCGATTTCTAAAAAAAAAGAAAAAATTGTCGGACATAATGAAGGAAGTCTTTTTCATGGGACAGTGCATGAACTTCACATTTGGCTTAGCCACGGCTGGATGAAAACAATATACCGGTATATGAATAATGGAAGCCAATTTTGTCTTTTGAGGCTTGCTTTAGCCTAGTATTTAAATTCTGCAATACCCGTAATATATTCAACTAGAGCATTACCACACGGAATGTTTTCATGGAAAGGTTGAAATGACCTTCATTGGTTGTGCTGCAGGGAATTTTAAAATCGTATTTCCTATTAGCTCGAATTCATTTTATATCGATATGAATACAAGGTCATAGTCAAGGAAAGAGATTCCCTTGCTGTCCCTTCATGTGCATAAGACCCATTCATTTATCTACTTAGGCGATCAGTTGTGAGAAACGCGGATTTCTGCCGTTTCCTCCATATATCTCTATATTCCGCAGTGAAAACTAATTCCCTTTCATTTGTATTTTAATCAGCGTTCTCAAGTGTTGGTTGAATTCTGTTTTTTCCCCTTTACATTGTAGCCAGAAAATTATAAGAGACTTGACAATGCTAATGAGAGAATTTCGTTGCGATCACGCAGCTCTGTCGAAAATAGTCACAGATAAAAAAAACCTTGTAAGTGTTGATGCCATCGATACCATCGATAGAAGTGCCTTCTTTCTATGGAAAAAGGGAAGGTTGTCACTTTTCTTTCAGGAATTAGATTGCGCTTTTTGTTCAATGTTTAGTCTGAAACAAAATACGATGACGCAAACGGCGAGAGAAAATAATTTTTAATGCAAATATTGTCATTGAAAAAGAAACCCTTTGAAGTGGCATATATCCATCTGTTCTGAACGCGTTCATACTGGGCGCATGAACCTCTTATGCCTTAAGAGCATGGTCTCAAGAGTACCATTTCTCAAGCAGGGTCCCTCACCTGGAACAGTTTGTCTGTTTTACAGAGAGGGGACTTAGTATTTATGGTTCTGCCCTGTTCATTCAAAGGTTTGTAGGGGAGAGGTTATTAGGCTCTTAGCTTCACTTATGACTGGAATCGAACGGATAGAAGCGTAAAAGAAGTACAAAAATCAATGGTTTGGGAGGGGTGTAAGAGGGGATTGAGGTGCTACCTGGGAGGAGAGTGGATATGCTAAGATAATAAAAAAAAATCGGGAATGACGGACTGCTTCAAAGCCTGGACACAGAGTTTGCTTACATGAGATCCCATTCCTTCCTTCTTTAATTGTCCTGCTAATACCTTTCCTTAATTGCTTGCATGGGAATCCAATAATCCAATATTTAATATCCAATGAGAATTCTATTGATTGGAGTGGAATACCGAAACAATTATATGAGAATATTTGACTGCATGCTATCTTCACGTGAGGACTTTACATAATATCGACTTAAACACCTGGGACGGTATTCTATTAAAATTAAACTTAGTTGAAGCAAATTGCTCAACCTTGGCCATGCATTTGAATGGGGAAAATTCCAGCTAAGCACCTTGCTAAGAGGTAAATCGCACTTAAGAACATTATAGAATACGGCTCCTGATCTGCATAGTATCACATGTCCATTTAGCTGAAGCCTGCTGCGTCCTAATGAGGTTCTGAGGGTCTTGTGGAAACCAATGAACTTTTCTGTAACTTTCTCGTAAGTGTTTATGGGTCTCACAGAGGCTTTTGACTTCAAAATGGCAAATTGCCATTCTAGCCAAATCAATACCTCAGTACGCTAAATTATTCTAACTCACTTACGGTACCCTGGGGAGCTTTCCTTTGGCAGGGAGGAGGGGTAACCCATACATTTTTCGCTTGAGGAAGACGGTTGCCACAGCTGGCCTATGAAAGACTTAGGGGAAGATTTGAAAGCCTGAAAGGAAAAGTGGTCCATGCATAAAGAATTTGGTCCACGTCCATGGTCCACTTCTCCTTTACGAACTCGCTGCTATTTTTCTGGAAATTATGAAAGTGATCATAAGGAACCCTGCTTCCCCCCATGACTACAATACACTCTTGGCGTTAGCTTATTTTAGCTCATGTGGGATTTCCGAAAAAGACCTCTCTACACAGAAGGTTTGAGCTGGACCGCGCCCTTGATGAGGATCCCGCAATTCCTTCAAATATCAAAAGCTCCTTTCCGTTCATTTCTCTTTTTAAATTCTAGTACTTTACTTTCTGGAGTCGGTTACATAGCTTGACCAGCGATGTTAATACTAGGGAGGTTTTTTTTCCCGAAGGGGGAAATAAACTCGCTATGGTCGCGCCTTCGTGCCTATCATATTATGTAGGATAAAATTAATTCATTTGATTGATCCGTTTTTACTTATCTGGTAAATATCTGCCTTAGGTATATTTATCGCTCTGCCTAGTTAATTCTTGTTATTTGGCGTCACTGGCAATGGCATTGGCACTGGCACTGGCATTAAAATAGTCTTACCGAGACCTATAAGTGACCAAAAGTCTCCTTTTTTATTTTCTAGTGTAAAATGTTGCCATGAAAAGTTAAATTAGATGTCGTTGATATAGGCGTAGCGTGTTGGCTCCAGTCCCTTCCTCCAGTGTTGCCGAATATCGTGACTTAGTTATATCAGATTATAATTTCTTCCGCCTAGGTCCTGGATCTTCTATTTTTAATGTAGGATGCAATATTGTCCTAAATTCATGGCATGAGCTAAGACTGAAACGATCTTTTGTAGTTGGGAATGGATTTGGTGGAATACGAAGATATCTCATTCGGTCATACCTAAATCAGCATGATGGCGGCCAGCTTGTGTGTCATGCTTTCTAAAGGCATTTTCTTCTCGGAACTAGCCGAGACGGCACCAAGAACTCTGGATAGGCATAATGTTCCCCGACCTCACTGAAATGGTACATAAAACTCGAAAAAACCTATACTAGGTCTAACGTTACACGTTCTTTGTTAAATGGACAATGAGAGACTGAATAGGAATGCGATTGGCCTAATGTTACACGTCTTCGACGAGGTGTTTCGAAGATCAGGATTAATCCTAATTCAGGGTGGTGCTAAAGCTCCAGTAATTTAATTTTTTTTTCTTTTACTGAAGCCCATGCTACCTTAGCCTAACACGCGAGACCTCCAATGTTAATGATTTTTCGGCCATAGGATAGGCGAAAGGATTAAGCCCCTCTATTGCCGTGTTTGGCAGCAAATGTTAATTTGTTAGGCATGAATTCATTTCGACCAGCAATTACCAATTTCTTTGAAGAAGGAGAGCGAATTTCTGAGATCGTCCGGTTGCTCAATTTGCCACGAATGACCGTCTCTGATGCTGTCAAACGTTACCAAGAGACTGGGAGGAATAATGACCATGTTCGCAGCGATCGTCCGAGGACTTCAAACACCTCCATCAACCGAAAAAAGATCAAGGAACGAACCCAAAGGAATCCTGGGTGGTCGACTAGGAAACTCGCCAAGGCTTTCAAAATTTCCCTAAGATCAGTTCAGCGAATGCTCAAAAATGATTTCCAGCTCAAGGCCCACAAGCTACAAGAAGCCCATCTGCTCACCGACACAATGAAAGCTACTCGACTGGAGAGATGGAAAACTTTGAAGAGACGATTCGCTGCTGGACGAGACAAATCAATTTGGACTGTTTTCGTACAATAAACTCTTCACAATCGAGCAGCCACACAATCACCAAAAGGACCGGATTTGGGCAACAGAAGCTCCTCTTTAAGGCAGGGTTGTCGGCCAAAGTAAAAAACCTAAGTCTGTTATGGTCTCGGTTGGAGATACAAGCAATGGCAAAACTCCACTAATTTTCGTTGAGGAGGAAGTCAAAATCAATCAACATATCTACCAAGAACAAATTCTGGAGGGCGAACTGCTTCCGTGGATTCAAGGACATTTCGGAGAAGAAAAATGGACGTTGCAACAGGATTCTGCACTGGCACACAAGGCTCAAATCACCCAAGATTGGATCAAAGACAGTTTCCTGGATTTCATCTCTTCACAAAAATGGCCGTCCTTGTTGCCCGATCTCAACCCTTAGGACTACCGAATCTGTGGTTTCTTGGAATCGAAGGGCTGTGGAAAGCCCCACAAAATTGAATTGAATCACGGAAGCGAACCCCGAAGAAGGTATAGGATTAAGTTTCCCTGGAGACTTTGGGAAAAATCATTGACAACTTCCTGTAGAGATTGAGGAATTTCGAGATAGAATTTCGGATAGAATTTCGAGCAAAATTAATCTCATCGTGTTCCCAAGATCATTAATTTTCTTTTTTCTCTCATTGTTTTTGAAAACAGTTGATATTTAAAATAAAATTTAAACTTCGGAAAAAATGACGAGAAACTTTTGCGCCACCCTGTAGACCTAATTGGTCAGTAGGCCGAGGATTGAGTTTCTTTTAAACGAAAAAAGGCTACCCTAGACCTGTCCTGAAGACAGTCCATCGGTTAAGCCTTGGCCTAATGTTGGTGAGTTCCGTAGAGCAGGTGGGGGGGAGGAGAGGTTGAGGTTGAAGAAAGGAAAAAACGTTGAAAAATGGTTTTCACGTTACTATATTGTTCACTTTTTCTCAGGACACACATAACCAGGCTCATTTCCGCTGATTGTTTATTCCCCTTATTTCCCTTCGCTTCGAATATTTTGTTGACAATCTCAAGGAAAAGGCTATTTATCTTTAAAAGCTCCACTCCAAAACTCATCACTTCATTTCTTCCCTGATAATTTCCCTTCCTTCCTATTATTCCACTCGAGATATATATTCATTTCTGCACTATTTTTACCGTGCGTATAGTCCCAGTTGTCAAAAAACCACTGACACAATTACAAAGTGCCCGGATTTCCCAGGCACAAGATTGCTAGACGTACGCATAAAATGTGCATCTGGCATCCTACACATACTCTCTCAGCTCTACGCGACACAGATGCACGAACCATCCAAATCTTGTCTAATTTTCCCGGCCTTTTCATATAAGCCTATGCCTTGCCAATGACAACTATTTATTTCAATGCTAGATGGTTGGGATGCGGTGTATATATATATCCAGCGAGTTCGTTTGCCCAAAGGGTGAACAAATTCCCTTTGGTCACGCCTTCGGTGCTCCATTTTCTAGAAAAATGATTAATTCATTTCAATAATCACTTTGACCAAAAGGGTAAAAACATATTGGGTCATATGCATATTTATCGCTGTGTCGAGTTACTTCCCGGTATGTGACATCATTGCCAAGAAACAAATCTTTAGCTTCTTAAAATAGTCGCACCATGAGTATCACCATGTTACGCTTTACGTGGGAATTCAAGAGCCCTGCTCTTGAATTCCCGCGTAAAGCGTAACCATTATACCAACACATTAATATGACACTCTTACCTCAATTCGCTCAGCTGAAACATATATCACTGTAACTTATTCATATATTTCCGTGCGATATATCCCTTGCAACATTTTGCGGATAGTCCACTTCGGAAGTCATCCCAACCCGGAATTCTTTATGCCTGTTGAAATTTCGTGGCACCCGAAGTGGATCTCGTGCACGCAGGTGCGACCTATCTATATAATAATAGCCGAACTCCTTCGTCAGTCGGTCTATCTTTCCGTCGGAGGCCTGCTGGGGTCGACGTTTTGGAATTTGACTCGATTGGCCCGATTCGAATCGTGACACCCGCCCATGGGAGCAGGGCTCTACTTGGAGTGAATGCAATTTAAATGATGAAATGTACTTTACCAGTGTTAATTGCAGATTGGATGAATCCCAAAAAAAAGCTTTAGGTAACTATTTCCTTGAAAACATGAAATTCACGTCCTTGATGAATTCAGGAAGTCCAATGAAAGCATAATTTGAACTGCTTTTCATCGCTTTGAATTTTGCTACTATCGCTTTCGGGTACTGATAGGGTGGTTGTCTCGGAAGATCATAGTGATTTCTTCTTCTTCCTCGACAACAGAGCATTTCGTTTCCTCCAGTTTCCAGCAGGTTTACCTGGCACTAATATTAAAATAACACTTCACTAATGAAACGCATGAATGAAATGCAATGAAATGCATGCGCACAAATTAAACAGATTGTTGAGACCTGGGTCATATTAACGTTGAATCAATGTTAACAGGTCAATTTGGTTTCAACATTAGCTGCGTCGACGCAATAATGTTGAATCAACGTCGATACACCGTGATTGTTCTACTTGGGTATACGCTGGTCTGCAGTCACAAGCTTGATTGGTCATCTACTCTGGCTCTTCTTCGCCTCAGGCTTGGTCTTAGTACGCGTTCTCTTAACTGTAGTATTACCAGCACCCAGTTGTGTTGCAGTTTTCTGCGACGAAATGTTGTTGTCAAGCAGAGAAACAATGCTTTTGCGAGTAACTCTGGAAATGCGTTTCACGTCATAAGAGAGTACTGGCGGAAGAAGAAAAGAGTTGGTAGTAATCTAGAGGATGCAAATACTTCCTTCTTATAAGTTTGGAGAAACTAGAATGCGTGCGCCGCGATTTACAAATGCCGATTTTTATGAATGAACAACAATTTGCGAAACTGGTCTAATGACACGCAAATCTGTGAGAGCTCATCGCTCCACGAATATCCTCTTGTGCAGAACAAAACCAATAGGTATTGGAAGCCAAGAAGCAGTGCTATCTTCCCTTCAAATTTGGTTTAGATTTATTGAATACTCATGAATTTGTTATCCTACAACCACCGAAGCCACCAACATTGGACCAGTTTTTCTGGCCACTGTATTTCCAAGGTTCCAAAACAAATTTCCGATTAGTTTAGTCTGTATGGAATAATATTTAGGATCTTTTCTCAGACACAGCATTCCAAAAATGAGAAGAACGGGAAAGGGAATAATAAGGATAATGCACAGGTACGGACGGTAAAAAAGTCACGCAAACGCCGTGCTCCACAACCACCGACCCAGAAAGAAAGCACTGTCATCCCTCAGTCAACTCCATCGCCTCCTCAGACGCAACGCTCTCCCATTCTTCGATCAGCGGAAGAAAGTTTGTGCATCTCCTCCATCCTCCTACCTAAGATTTTCTGCCGATTATCTTACCCTTGTGATGGAATTATGCAGGGCTTATAAATAGTGCTGTCCCTAATGACAACGCTTTAAATCTGGGAAAAAATAGCACCTTCGTCCAATTGCTTCAACAAATATGAAAACGACGTCTTATCTTAGACTTTCTCGGCTGAACGTTGCATGTCCTTCAATAGCTTGGTACACCGATTGTGGCCCAGAGAATTTAACCTAAAAATGTAGACCAGCTTTCTCGGAAGGGACTTACGTTTAATGAAGCAATAGTGAATAGATTTAGGAAAATATGCCACAATCATGAAAATATTGTTCAATGACCTCATCTGTAGTTATAGTCTGCTAAAGTTACACAAATATATACTACTACTGAATTCCAAACCAAATTCAGGGCCACCCCTGATAAAGAAAAGTTCCCAGTTGCTCCATCTGAGCGCAGTTCGACCTAAAGGGTCATAAATGACAAACTATGAGCTTAAATAATGTTGTCTGCCTGCCAAAGTATATTTTACTTCTGTAGTCACTGTTTGCACAATAGGAATCCGATTTTGAATATGTTTTTGTAGTCCTCTTCATTATCTTTGAAAAAAAAACCTATGCATTAGCTTAAAGGAAACAGAGTACTCTTCCTTATAGGTGTGGATGACACCAAAAGACCATGAATATGTTTTGTGCCGTATCAATGCCAGAAAGTATACAGTGTATTATACATTTTTTTGGCTCACAACATGTGTGAACGATTGGATTGACCATATTCACAATTTTCCTTTCATTTGGCTAGATCACCTGGTATGACTTCAGCAGGGACGACTGTTCTGAAGTGGTTGGGGTAATTACAACGTAGAAGTTGCAATACTTTCTAAGAACTAAGGTGCAGCAGAAAGAAAGAACAGACATTAAGGGTGCAAAACTCAAGTCCTCGGGAGCATCTGGCTACATAGCAATTTGACAAGCGTCGTATTAATGAATAGATAGCAAAACTGAGTACTGTTCAACTATTAAGGTCGGACTTTTCCCGTTCCCAGGGAAGGAGAAATGTCGAGTTGTGTATTCATATGACGCTCAGGAGTCCAATGAGCTCACAATTTGTGAAGGGGACATCGTGACCATATTGAATATGGATGACGTCGGCTGGTGGTACGGAGAACTCCAAGGTCGCAAGGGATTATTCCCTTACAATTACGTTGAAATCATCTCCGACTCGGACCAGGTGATGTTATCTTCTGACTATTGTCAAATAGACGACGTGAGTGCGTACTTACACTGAATAACTAGAAATCGAACAGCAATTGCATTCAAGAACTCCTGAGCCGTTTTTACTTGATAGCTACTTTCGGAACAGCCACAGGCAATAACCCTCATTTTTAAATCAGCCTCGTGCTACAGTGGCCTGACAAGCATGTTTAACTTCCGTTACACATGCTGACGCTCTCGTTACACCTTCTAGTGTGCTAAAGGACAGCATTGGACGCCTCCTTAAAAAGGAGGAAAGCAACTTCTCCGCCGGCCGGTTGTCAACAAAAGGGTTTTCTCTGACCTCTGCATGCAGAAAACACTTGACGCTATCCTGTAGATCCTCAAGTCTCCTGGGAAATCCCTTTTTCTGAAGGGAAACTATCCAAGACACCAACATCTTCTGGCTGGAGCCCCTAGAGAGAAAGAGCCTGGCCAACCAGGATCACGCTTTTCGACACATCTGATTGGCTGACGCGCATAGGCGTCATTTTCGGTCCAATCCATGCATGAACATGATCCACGCAATGCACGTGAAGTGGCTTCTCCGCGTTGATTGTAGAGCAATAATGCCACGCTATGGAGATGCAAAACGCTCAAACGGGTCTGAACAATGTTTTCGTTCGTTTCTGTTTCCGATAGACGCCTGGAGAAGATCCCTTTTGAGCTGCGAAAGTGAAACATGAATATTGGGAGCTTTAAGATTGATCTCGCTTAGATGAGGTAACCATGACATATAGCCAAGCCGATCCAGTAAGGAGCCCCTTGGGGGGTCGGGACAACATTGCCCCAACTATAAGTGGTTGGCATTTACGTAAATGCAGAACCTTCATGGTGTGAATTCAGGTTAGGCCTCTGAAGCTCTGCCGAAAATAAGTTATCTAGTATGAGGTCATTCAGGGTGTGGTCGTTCCTAATTTTTAAGTACTTACAAGTAAAGTATGGCATCAACGAAGTACTCTGTAACGGGGTACTCTGAAATACTCACTAAGAAGTACCCTGTCATGCTAATCCTGGTTTACATACCTCTAAAGTGCCCTCTTTCAACTCTATTTTCAAGACTCAAACTAGCCTTCTACTCTAGCCAACTACCTTCTGCCAACTGCCAACTAGCCAACTACCTTCAATAAGCTGAAGCCACTGCTCCTTGCTAGAAGTTCATTGTCTGATTGACGCATTGTGCATTAATGGTGTGGTCTCCAACCTATCCTCACTGGGTTTCGAAATTTGGCTACATCTGAATTACTTTTAAGTACCATTGGTATCATATCACTATGAATAATGGTGTTAGAATTTGCAACACTTCCGTCAGTTTGACATACCAATTCCAGTTAATAAACTTGTAGTTTGAGATTTTCATAGTGCCGATTAATGACAGTTCTTTCAACGGTTGCAAGAGGATGGGGTTAAATGTGATCACTGAAAGAAATCTAATGTCAGGAGAAAATGCGTCCAGTTCTGGCCATGCAAATAAATGGACATAGTAGAGATAGTTTGTTAAATAGCAAAAAATAAATACTGCGTCTGCTTCCATTATCAGTCAAGTCCAATTATAGTCAAATACGATACGAATAGATAACAAATAGAATAAAACTTTCTACATGGTCGTCAGACACACATCGGAGACCCAGAGGGAACTAATTTGGTGGGATTCAGCTGGCTTGAAATGAGCATCTGGCTATAAGGAAGTACATTCCGAAGGTTTCGTTAGTGTATCTCGTATCGTAGAGACGGAATCTACTCTCGACGAGAGTGCCTCATGTGAGGAAATCGGAGCGATTCAAGGAATAACTGAGTGGGGGAGAATGGGAAGATGTGCACTGTGGAGCGAAAATGGCGTCCCCAGTTGTTGAGGTTGGCCTGGCCCTCTCTTTACAGGGGCTCTACTCGTGGCTATTCAAAAATTGGGCTTGGACCTCTTGAAGCTTTTCCTTTAACAATGCGAAGTTATAAGGTACTAAGGGAAGATGAAAATCGACCCCCCTGAAATTAAAGTCTGGCTCATAATTATTGTAGAGGACCCCAAGGGAGGGCCTTGGAGCCACCTTTTAGCACTCTCAGGTCAAGCACCTGACCGTGGCGAATGGTTAAAAGTCACGATTTGCATGCCTCTCTTAGAAAATCGGTATCTCCCCAACCCTTGGTCGCAGAAGCGTCACATTTGCGCCATTCCCCTCGCCACAGAACATATTAAATGATGAGCCTAAAAATTTACTCATGTCTTTGCTTCCCGAGACTCCGTGGCGCCATTTGTGAAAATTCGCGTTTCGCGAATTTGCTTCTTTCCTCGTTCATTCTCCAAAGAAACGTTGCATGGGGAAAAGCATGCTCCAGGTTTTGGAGCCCCTACTAACTGAAATAAAATTGTCATTAGCATCATAATACCCTCATGTGACGGAGAAGTAGTAATAATAAAAATTAACCTAGTGAATATAGCTTTGATATTACGGAGGCATAAGGGGGTAAAATGATATCTTTAGAATAGGAAGAGAGGTTTTGATGTTTGTCATAAAAACAATGGCAATCGTTCAAAGTGAACAATTAATGTACTCATTGAAACCAAAATACAATTAACATAGAATAATAAAGGACTACAGGTCTACAGGTAGTGGAAGTGATGATGAGGAAACTAACGTAGTATAAAGGTGAGTGGCTGCAGGATAAGACGAATATCGGGATGATGTCGCACTGAAGTCAGTCGAAGTCGGAGGAAGAATCGATGTGCAGGTGAAATAGTGAATAATGACCTATAATCGATAATTGAATGAATTTTTATACTGCCTGCTGGGGCGGAAGTGTGGGTGGAAAGGGGGTTGAATGGAGAGGAAGGGAGAGGGAAGAAGGAGGGGGGAGGAGGTGGAGGGGCATGAATCCATTTCAAGGATGTCAAAGGACGCGTGCTCCTCTATCACACTATGTATGGCCAACACACAATATAAGTATGGCCAACATCTGGGACAAAAAAAAATATTTCTAGCCAGTTTTTGGCCAGGTGGCCACTAACTGGGTAAAGCAGCATTTGACATTCCCAAATATTAGCCTCCCGATAATTAGAGTTACATCATAATTAATGAATAATTAAGTGTCAGATCTAGTCGGTTATTCATTATGGAAATGAGGACACAGGAGATTTCATTTGCAGTAAGAGCAATTGGTAATAAATGAATCTGATGAAGCGGTGTGATTGCTTAGCGCAAGCGTTAAGCGAAACATGCCGCTTACACACGGCATTCATAAAGAAACGCTGATGGGACTCCCATAGGAAGTGGAAACCCAGTGCGCACACTGGGAAACGCTAGGTATAATGTCCTGGTACGGGAAGATCTTGATGAAATGCTTGAAAACGGCCGGATTAACTGATTATGCTGGATTTAAGCCTCACTGGCCAACAACTGGAGACTGGCCAGTAACCGGGGTGTTTGCCCATATATATTATCAAACGATTTGTCAGCTTGACTCTGTGCGATCCTGATGTCTGAAAAGTATAGTTCCCTGGGGTTTTTTGTTCAGTAAGCGATCTGTTACCACGTACAACTTGAGAAAAAGCTTTGGAATTCCTATATATACCATTGGAAGGAGGTAATCCGGCAGAAGGAGACTCCGGGTACTTCTGGTCAGCGGGTCGTCCTAAGACACGTAGCAATACTGCCTACCTCACTTCAGAACGCACCAAATGACTCGGGCTTTGGTATCTCTTTCGTATCTCTTTCGAGAATTGCAGTGCGTTTGCCGGCCTGCGAAGGTGTGTTTAACTTCCCTCATGCATGGGAGATAAAATAGGGGGTGATGCCAGGCACGTAACTCCCTTGCTAGACAAAATCAATTGCGTTGTGCAAATACTAAACTCAAGTTTTGATGCAGTTAAAGTAGGTACAACCTCAGAAGGACCCTTCCGTGGAATAACAATACTCATTAGAGTACTCTAGAGTTTGATCAATAGTAGCGCGCGTCAAGGCTTTTAGCCTTGACGCGCGCTATTATTGAATAGAATGGGGAGATAATGCCCAAACTTCAACAATTCAACGTTTGCACAACGGGACACATGACCGAATCAACGTTGTTTCATTGCAACATTGCGGCAGCATGGAATGCCCCTATTACCCACCGTTGTGGCAACATAGCTACGTTGAAAAATCAACCCTCTCTCCACCTTGATCAGACGTTGTTGGCCGGATGGTTTAGCTTAGCAATTTTAGAGTTTTACCACATAGAAAATCATTGCGGCCGAAATTACGTGTATGTAGTACATGCTCATCGCTGTCTGATTCCGTTTTAATTCCGTCCCAAGGGCCCCTGACGGGCACATAACAGGTTTTTTCATGAGTTTCCTGGGTTTTTTCTCTAAGGAAAATTAATTCACTATTCAAAATTATCGAGAGAGAAATAGCTGGATGATGCCCTCGGTCCGAATATCGTAGGAGAAAGCGAATAGCACGTGGGAATCATGAATCTGTCAATCCCTCTTAACTTCCGAGTACCGAGGCCGAACGTTCCCACCTACGCTGACCAAATGAGGCAGATTCTGAATACAATAATTGGGGGCATTGGCTGGGCCTGGGGCATTTACCAAGTACGTTCAACTGTGATTACTTTCCATTGATATTTTTTTTCCAGCAATCGACATCCAGTGAACACAATCGAAACTCACCGTCTAATCATCCCGTGTGTACACGGGCTTTCGACTAGTTGTTAATAAGGGCATGCAATGCACTTGGAACCAACTATTGGAACCACGAGTTCCGGTGGTGACAAGTGCAGATATCGGCCATTGAATTGGATCAAATTGTTCGATGAAGTGGAACTTCTTGTTCTTGTTCTCTTGTAGAATATTGCCTTAAAGCAATCTGAAGACGACAGTTTCACAATTAAAATAACGCCAGAACTTAGTTTTTTAAATCTTAAATAGAAGGGAAGTTATTGCAAACATATTTTCACAATTCCAGTCCATATAGGTGCCAGGATAAAAAAACTAGGTGACAATCAAATGGAGCGACCCAAGAGTCAAGAAAAATTATGCTTATTACAAACCTTTTCCTGTTGTTTCTTCCGAAGTATCTTTTGTCTCACACTAATATAAAACTAAGTGCTCAGGAGAAGCTGACAAATCGATTGAAATATGCGATACGAAAAATTCGTGACTTTTAAAGCACACTGTATATTGATTAAAGTTTGCGTGAAATAAATATAAATAGATTAAATGGATAATAAATGTATATTACTTTTATATAACATTAACATATACATGCTGCTTGAATCAGGATACAGTCACCCTAATAAAAAATTAATCGTAATTCTATTTCGATTTTTTTGAGCAACAACTGATGTAGCGTGAAATTCATCTGCCCAAATTGTCATGGTTTTTTTATTCGTCCCAGCCACCCAAACTACTTTACCCTGGCACGTCCTTAGACACCATGGTCTTCAGAATCACTTGGGTCCGTCATGGTGACGTTGAAGTGCGAACCATCGAGGACAGAAATCGTAATCCTGGAGTATAATATACAATATCAAAATTATATCAGATATGGCATTGGAGCTAAGCTGTTAGTTTTACCTGAAAACTTGCATTTTTTACACTTACATATTTCTAAGATACAAAGTTTTCTGGTTTCAAGTTCATGAACAAAGTTTTCTTCACCTCCGATGCTTTCATTTTGTGATTCTTAGCAATATTGATTCAAGGAATTATCATATCGATCATATTTCCTTTCCTTTTCATGAACAGAATGATGCGCCAAGTGAAGATACAGTTTTAAACGCGCATAATGGTGACGAAAGTATCCCAAGTGAAGGTTACATGAAACCCACGCTGGCAACACATAAGGATGAATGGAAGCTCCCTCCATGGATGAACGAAATTTATTCCTCTATCCTCTTCAAACACTTTGCTCGGCAGTTCAACAAAGACAATGAGAGTGAGTTGGAGAAAGAGATTGAAAAATAAATAAAGGTCACAGTTCTTCACGCCGACATCACTAACCGATTCAAAACATTTTCCTTAGCCTCCCCCCTGAAAGAAAAACTCCATGGATCCAGGTTCTATCCTTAAATCTCTACGTAACTTTAACTTCCCAATTGCATTGCAACTACCATGCATTTGGATGTAAAGACTCCGTTCTTGAAAGGATTGATTTGTGAATCTGAACCCTCGTCAGCTTCAATTTTAAACTTCAGATGATATTGATGTCAAACGTTACTGGGTTTGTCCTACTCTTGCTACCCTCTTGATTTTGTGAATGGACATTCTCAAGGAATCACCCTTTATACTACAGCCCAGAACATGGGTCATTACTATTTCCCCTTCAAAATAAGTGGGTATTCCCTGTATACCAAACCAACTTGATTCTGAGCCCATGTATGGAGAAGGGAAAGCCTCCTTTACGGATGGGGTGAGTAAGGGTGAGTATTTACTCTCAAGGAATTCTTGTTCAGACAAGAGTAAGGGGAGAGGAATAAGCAGACAGTGAAGCCAGTCAAGCCCCTTCCTTCCACCACATGGAAAGGGCGACATTGTTCAGGATTGAATCTCTTCGCTAACCTGTTCGCAGAAAAATGTTGCATTAAACTTTCGGTTTGGCATTATTAAATTTCATTATGCAAGGAAGATAAGCACACTGCCTCCAACATGGCTCATCGATTGGAGAGGGACATGAAGCGGAATCTCTTCATCAACGGCAGGACATAAGAAAATGTTGGCCTCCATGTGTGCATGGTTTTTTAATTGTTGGATTTCCGTCCGTCCGCAGCAAAAAAAAATGTATTGGCGTCAATTTCATTACGATAGCCAAGGCATAATTCATTCAAAGTAACTTCCACACTTACTCGATGAAATGAGTATCATAGGACCAGAGAATAAAGCTATCCCCATCATTGACAGCACTTTGGCTTTTGGTTATCCGTTTTTGAGGAGGACGGAGACGTGAATGGATTACGGTGGATGGACTTATCTGGTAAACTCGCAAGTTCCCAGATATCTGAATTTAATGCTTCTTCTTCTTTTTTTATGTAAAGCAACTAAATTACCTTTCCTTGAGGATTTTGAAGGTTTTTACCTCGGTTTAAGCTACTGATAACCCGAGATGTCTTATTCACCAATTCATAAAAGAAATCGAAGACGTGCCAAACACTGTAAGCTAGTACGGATTGTCTTGAAACTTGTCGGACTCTTTTCTTAATCAAGGAAAGTGAAAATGTCCTTTTTCCAAGAAAAAAGCTCATGTTTCCCTGTTCAAGATCTCTCCTAACTCAGATTTCTGCTATGGAATTGCAGGCATTGACTCCAAATACTCATACTGAGTGTGTTTTGATGTGAGGTATTAAAAATGTAACCACATGTTTTAGTCCATTCACTCTTTTCTGAATAAAAATGGCTATTCTGCAAATGAATCAAGAGGCGTTCCACGGAATTTAATTACTTTCACATGACGATGAAGGGCTTCTTCTTCTTGGTGCTTCCCTTTATGAACACAGTGATGCGTTGACGACAAGAGACAAGTACCTCAACTTAGAAAAGTTGAGGAAAGCTGAAATGGAAAATTTGATGCGATTCAAGTCGATGGAAAACTTGGAGAGACCGCGAGTTGCTCTGGGAATGCCAAATAAATCATATAACCTGATGCCGCCAAGGCTTCTGGGATCGAAGGGCTCTGAATTCCTTTGAGACACTTGGACTTCGCGATTTGTCTCAGCTCGTAAGCAGATCAAATGATGCCCTCTCTCAGATATTCGATTTCGTGCTGGACTTCATGCATCACCGTTTTTCCGGACGGCTTACTGACCTGAATTAACGTAGACTTGCACCTGAACAATGGACATATTCGCTACCGTCAGTCGGAGTAGGGTGCTCCTTTGCACCTTTGCAAGGAAACTGGGCGTGCCGTAATTCAATGTCTGACTGCTGGAGGTCCCCATCGAAAGCCATTCCCGAGAGTGTTGTTGACACTAAGAGCTTTTTACTACGGAGACACGCGTACAAGACGCGTTTCGACCTGACCTCGGCATGAGTTATTCTCCAAATTCTCCCGCCCGCTTCAGAGACGTTTGCACCAGTTGTACGCTTACCACTATTTATTACTTACTATAACTTTTGGATTATTCCTTTTATTATTTTTATGTATTACCTTTCCAGTGCGTCTGTAACAGCCAGTTTCGTTGTTGAAAAGCAAATTTCCAGTCATTATCCTCTGTAAATACAAAAATAAAATTACTACTGTATACCTAATTTTGCTCGTCCTGTATAACAGCTTGATCTTCAGCCAACAGAAAGGAGCTATCAGGTTCTTCACTTTTCCAGTATCGGGCATGGATATTTGCATTCACATAATTTTATTTTGGGAACTCAAAGCTCTGGTCCCCGGATTACCAGAACATACTTGGGGGATTTCAGAGGCAAGTCAGATTCCTCTACGATTCGGATCTGAAATTCAACATCTCGGTTTTCATCACAAGATCTTAATGCTGAAAATTCCATGCTATCAGGAGGATATTTATATTACAAGGAACTCCTCAGAAATGTCATTCAAAATTCATTTATGAACAGCACCCTTTCCATGATTGTGCAATGTAATATCTGAACTTTTCAGGGATTGTTGGAAACGTATTCATGAAGTGGAAAAGGAAACAATTATTAGCATCAGGGTCGGACTCTTAGCAGCAATATTACCAGACGAAGCTGAAAAGAAGTGCTAACAATTGTTAACATTTCCAAGAAAAGGGTGGAATAATTTCCAAAGCGTAAGGGGAAATAAAGGTTTATTCGTTTTTACGTAGAGATTTTTATATGGGAGATTTGGCAAATTCCGATATTTGCTTTTACATCGTTGGTCATTGATGTCATTTAAAGATCTGCAGAACAAAGTCTCCACCCAGGCTTTAGCATATGTGATCATTAATCTTGTATACCTAAAGAGACTTCGTAGCTGAGTCTGCCACTTGGCAGACTCCGATTATTGCGAATTTAAACGCAAGAGTTGAGATAAAGATCCTTTCATTCACGCAAAATGTCATTTTCTATAAAGGAGGAATCTAGATTTCCAAGCATGGAGCTGCAGCGCATTGAGTCGAAGCTCATATTTATTCATATGGGCCATTGTCTCGTTCAGTGCCTATTATGCAGAATATTGTATTTCCAGCTGTAAATGAGGTAAGTAGTGCGGGATTGGTGTTATATATTGAACCAGGATGTATGGTTGTAATAGAGCGTTTGATCGGTACTCTTCTGCTAATGCTTCTAAGAAAACCAATGCGTCTGATCGCCAGAATTGTACTCTGCTACAAGTTATCTGTTTGACTGGGGCATCTGCGATACTCCACAACATAGAGAAAATTGCTCATTTTGAGGTTTTAGGAGTTTAGAGGTTTGTTTTGCTATTTTTAATGACATTTCTCACCGCTTCACTTTCACTTCACCTTCAATGCTTCAACGGTATATTGCTCTCAGAAATGGCAACTAGCATTCTAAATCCCATTCTTTGGAGAAATGTGGGCAATACATTAGGCAGCTTCAGCAGTGACTATATATTCAGGAGTATTCTTTCTCTGCTTCACGAGTCAAACATGATTCATTACAGGTAATGATGACTGCATAAAGGCAACTGAAGATTGAGAGAATCGTGCAGCTCTGCAGGAGTTACAGTTGGCACACCGAAAAGGTGAAATCCACTTGCGAGGCATAGCTACCCAGCTCGTGATCCATGTGATTTTAAGCTAAGCATTGAGTGCCTTAAAAATATAGCAACTTTCGAAGTTATCAGAGCTAGTGGTGTATATAAAATATATATCCAGGCAGCGGAGGGTCCAATTATTGCTGCATATGCATAAATTCTGATTTGATCTTTCACTTCTGCAACTCCCAAAATCATCTACTTGACTCAGTTAATATGGAGCATGTTATTGGCATAAGCACAATCCTGAAAAATCGTGGATGCAGATTTTATGGAAACTAGAAAATATTTAGAGTTAACGAAAAGGCTTACTGATATTTCTATAGGGAGCGGATTCAGGCTTGCGACAAGAATAGTGTCTTAAGTAAAATAAAATTATAAGTTTTTTCTTCCTGGGTATTGGGCTTCTCCTTTATGCCCAGTCCTTGAAATGTTAGACTCTATCATGCCTGGCATGACCATTAAGGTCTAAAATATAAGAGCTAGTTGCAATCTTATAAGCCAACGGCCTTATCAATGATGGAATTTGTTTATTTTGGAAAGGTTTGCATCGGTCAATACGAATGAATTACCTTGGGCAATAACTCTGAGCGGACCAAGTTTCACCCAGAATATATACTAGGTGGGCAAAAAAAACCGATACCCTTTTTTTAAATTTCATATCTCCTAAACTAATAATGCAACAGTGATGAAAAAAAAAACAAAATGAAGTACACTCAATCTATATCTCTATAAGCAAGGATCTCTGTCTGTCTCTGTCCATCTGACCCTATGCATTCGGACACCGTTGGAGATATCGACCTGAAACCTTCGCAGGAGGGTCTGTCCAGTAGCAGGTCATAGGGGGGTCGGGGTCAGGGGGGCGGCTGGGTCAAGGGGCGGCTGGGTCAGGGGGGCGGCTCCGGGGTCCCAAAAAGGGTGCTCCAGGCCAGCTAGATTTCTCAAGCATTGCAGCGAATGATTGAGACACTTTAGAATTTGGAATTTTAGATTTCAGAAATTTTTTTCAGTGCAGTAAGAATATGTGTGAGAAAATGGAGTTTAGTTTTTCCTGTGAAATAAGAATATAATTGAGAAGCTCATTTAAGTTAGATTTTTGTGAAAAAAGAGCCCCTTTGAGTTAAGAATTAATTTAGAACAACTTTTAAAAAATAAGAAACAAACAAAAATAAAATGGCCAGAGCAGTGCTCCCGTCCCAGTCGGTCTGGCCGGACTTACACAAATAAGCACTAACAAAAAAGCACATAAAAGAACAACAGCTACATTACTCCTAAAAAAAATATCCCTGGCAACGCCAGGTAACCCAGCTTGTTTTCTTTATAATGATGAAGGTTTTCGCCAAAAGGATAATTATTATTGCCATAATTAGCGTTTGAAAAAAATTGCACAAAAAGAAAGTTGCCTGAATTCATCGCCTCCTCTGCTGTTTATTTTTTTTATTTCTCATACTGAAAAAATATCAACTTCATCTGCCTCTTATCGTTCCCTCACCATCCCTCCCCCAGCCCGCCGCCCAAGGGGCAAGCAGGACCACCGGATCAGATTTTGAATAAGAGTTCTTTCTCCAGCACCAGCAATTTGACCTTTTTATCAGCATCCTGATTATTCTTGACGGACTGGAGTTCTTTATTATTTGAGATTCATTATTAAAATGTATTATTAATTATTCTAGGGTCTTTTCAAATGGTTTTGAGTGAAAGTGATGAATGCCTGATCCAGGCGCTCTGGGAAGGAAAACGCTATTCGCTGAACAAAATTTTTGCTGAATGTCCTGCTCGGAATTAGAAGAAACCAACCGTCGCAAGCTTTTTTACTGAAACTTCGTGACCATGGTAGTGGAAAGCGTCTTGTTGGAAGTGGACGTCCCAAGAGTGCAAGAACTCAAGAAAACATTCAAATTGTTGGTGAATTAAGTCAATTCTGCAGTCAAGAAGGACATCCAGGGACGAGTCTGAGCGTGCGGCGCATTGTGAAAGAAACGGGAATAAAACGTGGTTCGGTGCGGAACATCATTAAAAGCAACTTGAAGCTGAAAACCTTCAAGCGAGTTCCCGTGCAGGAATTGTCTGAGCGAGTGCGAAAAAGTGCTTGGATCGCTGCAGAAAACTTCTAGACCGGTTTCCTTCGGCAAGCAAAATCTGGTTCTCAGATGAGAAGCGATTCACTGTTAAGAGGCCACGCTATACCCAAAATGATCGTTTGTATGCAACTGTGACCAGGAAGGATGTTGTCAGCCCTGTGCGACTACTGCGTGAGAGAGCTCATTTCTCGGACTCAGTGATGGTATGGTTGTTTCTTCAACGGGAAAAAAAAAAATTATTTCCTCGATCGTGGAGTTAAAATCAATTTGCAAAGCTATTGCAGTAACTTCAGTCTGCAATGTTGCCAGGAATTGAAGACCAAATGTCCGACTACACCTTCATGCAAGATGGTGCTCCTGCTCACACAGCTGAAGCTATCATTGCCTTTCTTCGGAAAGACTGTGCGGACTTCATTGAGCCAGACTGCTGACCACCCAACAGTCCCGATGTGAATTCAGTGGATTATTTCGTGTGGACTGCTTTAGAAGAAAAAGTGTACCGTGGACAGAGAATTCGTACGGTTGCGCAGTTGAAAGAATTAATTTTGGCCGCGTGGGAAGAAGTTCACCAAACCTCAATTGTGAAAGCTATTGGTAAATCGAAGGGGTGGAGGTGGAGCTGGGAAAGTTGAAGAATTTAAGAAATCTTCGAATGTCGCAGAAACTTCCACATTTCATCAAAGCAGAAAACAAAAAAAGGTAACCATTTTTTTAGTTAGAGCTTTCCGCATGTTGCTGGAAGTGCAATAGCTACAAAACCGTCTTATCTCGCGATACAATGGATGCCTGCTGTCTCATTCATAAGTAATGTGAGCTTCGGGGTATCATTATGGGGATCCACGAGAAGAAGTGGCCGAGCGTTCGGGGCTGTCATTGCGGAGCGGAAGTCCTAGAAAAATTAGCTGATCTTGAGACACAGTTCCAATCGTAAACTCCCTCATTGAGTTCCCAAGAAGTGGTTTGTCGATTTGTCGAAGTCCTCGCCATTTTTTGCAGGCTTCAAATAAACCTTTGCGGTTTTCAAGGCTCATATGAATTAACCGTTAAACCGAAGCAAATTTTTTCGACTCATAATCACTGTCGCAACGTTGAACGACGGATAACATCTGTTGAACCCAATGTGTTCAGCCTTTTTCTAGGCAAAACAATGTGATTTGAAAATAGCGAACATTCCTCTACTATCACCTAGGAAAGTCGACCCAGATCAAGGACCATCTTCGTTGGAATCACGTCCTGTTATGGATTGAGCTACCCACTTCCTGCTTGTACTGCGTGAAAGTATATATTCATTATAAATGTTTCGCTGTCTCATCCGTCTGGGCGACGAGATGACCACAGATCGACTGACTAAAATAATGCATTATATCCAAGAAACTACATTCGTAATACGAGGTACCATTGTCTCCCGCGCATGAGAATAGCCATGGAATTCGCTGTAGGCAGGAGATCGGTGTGTTCGTGAGTCCAAGTCTAAGACTAAGCCGCAGCTACATATTTTCTCTGAAAAATCAATGCTTCCAGGTAGATAGGCAGATATGATTAAGTATCCTTCGCATTACTATACGTTACGAGGTCACACATGTGAATGCAGGCTTAAGTTGAAGCAGGCTGAGGCGGGCGATCCGATGATCCAAGTGAGCATCAGACTCAAGCGCTCGAATTGAGACATAGTACAGCATGTAACGAAGACGCATGTAACGACTTAGGCGTTTCGCTTCGTACGACACTGAACATATGCCATTCGAAAAGGATGGACATTCTTTTGGGGATGTTCCACGGGGAACGCGGAAGACGCAGTGAAACCAGGGGACTCTGTCTCTAGATCCGGAGTAATGAGAAAACAAAACTTCAGTCGTCGTTAACGTAGGCAGGGATGCGCATGACACTCGCACCGCCATTATGTTTCTTTTTTTCCATCCACGAATGGGATTGGAAACATAAAACATTACCGGGCCCTAATCATTTCAGATTGGATGTAGGCGTCGTAATTCCTTTTTTATTCCATGTCCCATAATCTATACAGGTTCCGGGGAGTGCTGACGGATCCATGCTCTTACACAAATGAAGTAGCTTGCGAAATTGTTTGCGCAAGGTGTGTGCGATCTCAGATCTATGAATAGAACGTGAGACTCCCTGTTCGGTTGGTTCAGTGTCGTTCGAGAGTTCTACCTAGCGATAGACGAATGCAAGATGTGGGTGAAGGCAGATAAGTTCCTTTACACATTCAGGGTCTCCTCCGTCTTTCTTTTCCTGGGAGGCTGTTTTCCCTTCACTGGGATATTCGGCTCGGAGCTCCAGTTCCAGCTCCTGTCCTTCCCGGCGTTCTATTCCGTGGGATTTCTTGTTTATATGACCGCTGTCCTCATTTCCACACTTTGGAAGATGCTTCGCTTCTTGTTCGAAGCGCGCCGTTCTCTCGAGGATGTGGTCACCACGCTTCAATTCACCGTCGCCATCGCCTACGCCTGGGTAGTCATTGCCTTCTTTCTGGTCGCTGGTCCGCGAATCGAGAAAATCTTCGCAAAAGTGGACGGCATTCGGAGAAAACCGCAGAAGCGGCGTGGGGAGTTCACGTTTCCCCTTGCTGCAGCCTTAGTCGTCTCCGCTTTGCATTCTGCCGTGGAAATCCTCATCGGTTGGCAATATCTCATTCCTTTGAATTTCGTCATGTCAGGGATCGCCGTAGTTTTCATGGCACTCCTTCTTCGGATTGCGTCATTCCTTCGAGATCTCATCGAAGACTTGCATAATCCCGATGGAATATTGAACGAAGAGGCACTGGTCGAAATGCGGTAAGATCCAACGCGATTCTTCTATTCCTCTTTTACCACCCATAATCATGATGGCGATATACAGAGAAAGGTACGTACGAATCTGGTCGCTGACCACCGACTTGACGGATGTCTTCGGATGGCCGATACTCTTGACGCTGGGGGAAGCCTTCTTCATCAGTTTCTCTGAGCTCTACCAACTGATGCAGGCCGCTCTGTGGGGGACGCCTTCATCACGAGTCCTCCTCAGTAGCCTCACCGTCGCGGCCGCCCTCATTCCATTCTTCATCACAATCGAATGTGCCAATCATCTTCTCCGAATCGTGAGGGGCTTCGCTCATTTGATTTTTTATAGGAGCATTGGCCTCTTTTTTTATTGTCCTCACGTCGATGTAGTCCGGAGAACTGAAATGCGGACTCTCAGCGCTTCGTTCCGATCATCCGGATTCCCCTGGGATCAGGGAATTCATGATTATTGTAAGGGACACCCCCCTGAAGATCTCTGCTGCGGGGTTCATCCGTCTCCATCGACCTCTTTTCGTCTCGGTGACGTTCATGATAGAAATTGTCTTCATCGTTTATGACGGCATTTTCTGCCTGTTTCATGTATTTGGTTGATTTCATTTGCTGCGTCCAGTTTGCAAACGCGATGCTGACTTACATGGTGATCCTGCTGCAGTTCGGGACTTCGAACGAAACCGTCGCAACCCCTTCTACTCCATGCCCAATCTGCTAAGAAATGATGGAATAAGAGATGAAGGAACAACTGCTGTCTGCATCATTCGACCGCAGCATTCGCCAAACCCGCTACGAGGATCATGCGAGGCGCTTCGTTCAGCTGTGCTTTATTGTTTTCGACCGTTATTGTCCTTGCGATTAATCTTGTATTGCCCAAAAGCATCATGCAGGTAGGGAATGTATGGGGGACGACTCCATGTCACTGCGCAAAACTGCATCATCGCGAATCCACAAACCTCTCGTTGTTATGAAAGAAACGCATAGAAATACTTGACTCTTTCCATATTAAACTTTCAGCTAATAATTCTAATATTCCTAGCCCATAGGCAGAGCATCCATTTGCGCTCTTTACCCTGATTCTGCCAGGTAGACTTTTTTTTTTAAACGTATGTAACCCACTGGATCCAGTGAACACGGTATCCAATGTATGCAATGCAAAAATGCAAAAAACCAAGAATACTGCTAAGTACGCACGCTAGTCGTTGGCTTATAATTGACACATATACCCCCCAAAACTCATATCATCCTGGGTCTATTGGGCTCAGACGTTAGTACCTGCATTCAAATTGCGATAAGAATGCAAGATGAGCTTCATTGTTCGGCGCAAAAGACGAAACTTAGTCCGAATTATTTATAAATCCTTCCGGTCCACTTGAGAAAATTCTAACAGCTGTTCAAATTAGTATCGAAGAAGCCATGAACAACTTTTTTTAAGTGTGTCATGCCCGTAATTTGCTGAAAATACAAATGAAAACAAGTTTATCTGGTGATGCAATTAATGCATATGTATCGGATCTCTGGGACTTAACTTGAGTCGTCAGGTTCATTTCATGGAGAGAAATCGATGGGCACGAGGGAGATCCCTAGCTATGAATAGAACTATTTAATTATTCGTAGAGCCGCGGATGGAGGTGTTGAAGCAATTTTATCCTTGCATTCAGTCACGCTCCCAAGAATCGAAGGATTCGGTCACTCATCCAGACCGTCTTGCATCCATGGACGATCATATTTCCCGGAGACGCAAGTGGAAAAACTCAGGATTTGGTCGGGTTGGTTTCGGACGGTTGTCGAGGAACCTCTTGTGACTCTCGCTGTTGACGTGCATGGCTGGGAAGCCCCCTAGACGATTGCCGATGGGAATAAAAAGATTTCTTCCTTCAATCTAATGATGACGTTATTTTTTTATGTGCACGTCGATGCAGGGTGTGATGTATGAAATGAATACTGGGAATGCTCATTCGCCCACTGACTTCCGTCATATACAATTTCATATCGATTGCAGGACCGCATGTGTGGTAACGCAGGCACGCGTTACTGGTGAATATGCAGGGCAAGTTTTTATGAAAATTTCGCTCTCACCATTTAATAAACATCTGCCTTTCCTTACACAAGCAGCTCAGTTGTAGAACGAATATCTGCCATCATAAATGGTGAAGTTATATCCAAGTATTATATCGGTATATACCGATTATTAGCCACTCACCATAGGGTATTAACCTGAGGTATATTTTTCGGGGTTGGTTTCATGCATGTGCGACATGTGTACATTCGTACACATGTCGCACGAATGTGTGTACATTCGTGCCATGCTTTTCAGGATTTTTTACCTCGTAAGGGTCATTCTCGATCACGCTTCATGGTTCGCATTGAGTACACGTACGGCACGTGGGTATTTTATGGGATCACATGAGATCAGGTATGAAGACTCAATCCGAACCATGAAGCGTGATCGAGAATGACCCTTACGAGTTCAAAAAACCTGAGAAGCATGGCACGAATGTACAATTTTAGCATTAATGAAAAGCGACAGGAGGGAATCACCGCGGGGCATTCCAGCCCTAGTGGTCGAACCGGCAGACCTTGTGTGGGGCATAGCGACGGCGCTTCTCGGCTTCGTCAGACGCGGGTCGATGCTTCACTTT